AGGAGCCTGCTCCAGCACAGGCTGCCCACAGGGTCACAGCCTCCTTTGGCCATCCTCCTGCTCCGGTGTAGGGTCCTCCTAGGGCTCCAGGTGGCCCCTGTGATCCTTCATGGCTGCAGGCCACAACTGGCCTTACCACAGTCTGCTCTGCACACTGCCCAGAAATCTCTGCTCTGGTGCCTGGAGCCCCTCCTCCACCTCCTTCTCCACTGACCTTGGGGTCTGCAGGGCTGTTCATCTCACATTTCTCCCTAGCTGAAGTTGTGAGGCATTTTTTCCTCCTTCTTCAGTACGTTATCCCAGAGGTGCTACTACTGTCATTGATGGGCTCAGCCTTGGCCAGCGGCAGGTCCGGTCTTGGAGACGGATGGCATTGGCTTTGTTGGACACAGGAAGCTTCTGGCAGCTTCTCACAGAAGCCACCCCTGTAGTCGCCCCCACTACCAGAACCTTGCCACATGAGCCCAATACAAGCCTTTTCTAGTGCTTGATTTTGCTCAAAACCTTTTTGGGAGGTGATTGTAGTCCCTATGAAGGATACTGTTTATATTCTGTTTTTCTGAGCCCTCTTAAAGGAAAAGAAAAAGAACAAACAGGGACAGTAGAGATAGTAAAGCTTTACCTTTTTCATATTTGCTGTTCTTGATAGTGGTGTACTGTGTCCATCTCAGTATGAGGGAATAATTCAGTCTGTCACTCAGACTCCTACCGGAGCAACCAGTGTAGAAGCAATTGCTCATTTCTGTGATGCAGAAATATCGGAAGCTCGGTTTTATGTAGTTACTTCCAAGTAACTCCCTCTGTCATTACTGAACAGGAAAGATGTACCAGGTGATTGCTGAAGCAATGTCACTTGATCCTTCTCCTTGTTAGGTAAGAACTGTATTTTGTACAGTTCAAACCTCTTTATTGAAGCCTCTCTGATACTCAGCCGTTACTTTCTGATACTCAACTTTCAGACTTTACTGCTGGGGTTTGCTATCGTGTGTAATCTGGCACTTTTAAGCCTCACATAAAATATTTGCAGAGTCCTGTGCTTTCTATCTTAAGTGTACTTAGTGAATCTAGAAACTAGATAGTCTCATTCTTTTGGCAGTGTGGGAGCTCTGTTCTGGTAATCAAGCTGCACATATTTACCTTTTTGATCTCTCCTCATAAAACAATCCTTTAACCTTATCGCTTTGTGTTCTTTCTGAAAGTAGGCAGGCAGCGAGTCACCGTGGAGTGGAGTAGGGCATGAAAAAGTAGAGTACCTTGGGCTTTGGTGTGGTGTAGTATGCAGCAAAGTAACAAGTTTTTAAGAGTCCTTCAACGTGTTCATATTTGGTTTATTTTGTTGTTCGGGGGTTTTGTGTTTTTAGTTTCGGGGAGGAGGAGCAGAAACATCTTCCCACTGCATGCAGTCTGCTGACAACGCATTCATGGTGGGGCTGTGGGGGGTATACCTGGAGTAGCTTCTTACAAATTACCGGGTTACTTTTGCCATGTGCTGTGATATTTTTTTTCTTCCCCTTTTCCCACCAGTAATTTCAGTAGCATGTGAGTCGGTGTGAAAGGGGATACGAAAGCATTTGAAATCCTGTGCTGTGTTTTGCACTAGGTGTAGTGAACGTACTCTTGACCACTCCTCTTTGGGTAGTGAACACACGTCTGAAGCTGCAGGGAGCAAAATTTAGAAATGAAGATATTGTACCAACCAACTACAAAGGCATAATAGGTAAGTACCTGTTGTGGTCTTCAACCGGAGAGTTCTTCAAATGAAATATATTAAGAACTTTGATGTTCAAAGGCTTTTCTTCATGTAACCAATTTCACTGTGGAATCTCTCTGCTTCCCTATCGCTTTGCAGTCATTGAGTTTTACAGGAAACTGGACTTGGCCATTTCTGATGGTAACGAGAGTTTGCAGTATTCACCCCTGTAACTAAAATACCTTTTGCAAAGGCAGGTATCTTATCGTACAGATCTGGGAATAATAGTGAGTCCAGCGAGGTGGTAGCTGGCAGTCTGAGTTTGGACAGACAATCTGCCAATTCTCTCACCTTAATCTCTTAATCACCCACAAATTCAGGCTGTCTTCCTTTTAAAAATAAATAAATAGATACTGCCGTTTTGAAGAAGGTTTAGAAGACCTTAATGGTGATGCTGAGCTTGTACTAAAAGGAGTGGGGTGTCTGTGCAGATGATAAGCTTTGTTTACATTCATGGAGATGTGAGCAAGAACCTCCTTTGTCACTATTATGATGTTAACTTCCAGATTAGAATGGGAGATGAAAAAAAAAAAGCCACATAAGAGACTGCAGTGGATTTTGATACATTCTGAATATTAGGCTTTAAGTGTAACTCTTCTCATCTACAGTCAGAATTTTGTACTCAAGATTTTAATGATTTATTTTTCCACCTGTCTTCTCAGATGCCTTCCATCAGATAATACGAGATGAAGGAGTCTTAGCTTTATGGAATGGTACTTTCCCCTCCTTGCTGCTGGTTTTCAATCCTGCCATACAATTCATGTTTTATGAAGGCTTTAAACGGAAGCTTTTGAAAAAGCAGCTGCGAGTGAGTATGTTCTGAGGCCAGGTGTGATGGACATTCTTTGTTATAAGCCAGGGTCTTTGACATGTGTTATTTAAGCAAATTTGGAAATGTAGGTTTGGTTTTAGTACTTGTGTTTTTGAGGGTTTTTTTGAATTAGTATATCTTATAAAGAAAATCCATGTTTGTGGAGTGAGATGTGAATCTTTCATGTCCCTAGGGGAGTTATTGCTGTGACGAATTCTTCCTCCTGTAAGAATAAAACTGTACCTCTTGTCCATATTTGTTTAGGTTTGTTCACAGGCCTTGATTTAAAGTAGAAATTTAGATTCTAACAGATCTGTTTTAGAAGTATGTACGTGCAGACTGTTTTGAAGTCACCTCTTCACCTTCTCTCCAGTAAATCAAATATATTGAGCCTTTGAAGTATCACAGATTTGTTCTGGACCCTGTCATTTTCATAACACACTTTTTCCTGAAGCCCTCAATTTTTCAGTATCCTTTTTCCAAGCCTGGACACTAGAACTGAATGTAGCATTGCAGTCGTACCTCCCTGATTCTCTATATAGAGGTAGAATCACTTTTCTGTCCCTACTTTATAGTCCGCTTCTTTTTCTTTACTCTTTTTCTTTTTTCTCTGTATCAGATAGAGCATCTCACCTGAACTCGTGTTCCTCTCACATTCTAGCAAACTGAAAAGCATTTGTGTTACCTTTTAGGATAATGTCATGATACATGTTTAAGCTGCAGTGCTTTGCTGTTAATTTGTGACTTAGAGTGCGTTTGGTTGTATTAAAATGTTAGATCGTATGGAAATGTTACAAAGTCATTTTGTTTTTCCTCAAGACGTAGTGAAACTATTTTTGCATGAGGTTTTGCATCATAAATGAGGCTTAGTTTTTTTTTCCATCTTTAGTCAATACTGCAGTTGTAGCACTGCCTGATGTCCAGTTACATTATGGATGATATCTTTTGAGTGATGTGCTAAGCTTCCTTCTGCTTTATTTGCCTGTTGGCTAATTGCAATATTTATTTCTTGTGTTTCTTTTGAATTACTTCGTTCTGCCTTAAATTAGGGCGTTTTGTCCATGACGAGTGGAGAGGAAAAATACTTTTTCCCCTAGCAATGGTCACTTTTATTTTGGACAGCATTTTTCTTTCTATTTGATCTTTCTCTGATTCTGAAGTATATCATATTGACTTCTTTTAAAGATATGCTTGTATGTGCATATTTCTGATTGCAATCCACATATTTTGCAAATTTGGAACCGACTTATTTTCAGCGTTTCGTTCACGCGGTTAGACTGAGATGCACTGTAATCATCTTAGGCTGTAACAATCTATTTGCTGCATCATGGAACACTCTGGGCTTTGGAGGTGAGGATGAGCTTCAAGCAGGTGTTCTTAACTAACAGGGAATGACATTTTCACCCTATGTTATCACGACAAAAATTCTGCCTCGTAGCGTAGCGATTCTGTCTCGGGATTATAGTGTGATGCTCAAGGAGTCACCTTTTCACGTGCTGTGTGACTTGTCAGTTTAAACGTTGCAAAAGCTGCAGTGCTTATTGATTGATGGTACGTTTAAATGCTGCTTCCCTGTCTTCTGTCTACCCTTGGTGCTTTAAATTGGTCTGGTTGTGTGGCTTCATCTCCACCATGTTTCAGTAACCTAGTTCTAGCGAGACATGCAAAAGCTTGTGAGCAGGTGGAAGTTACAAATGCACTTTAGTTGTAGGAAAGTAAGCTGGTTAAACTATAATTAACTCTTATTAAAATGAGAAGACACAGACTTTGAGAAATCTCTGCCAGAGATTCTTAGATGACCGGTTACCAGGTACCAGTACAGAATCCCTAAACACACAGAGGTAACTGGCTGTTTTGGTACTACGTGGAAGTAATATGTTCTTTATCTATTGAACAGCTGACGTCTTTGGATGCTTTTGTCATTGGTGCAATAGCCAAAGCGGTTGCCACCACCCTCACTTACCCTCTGCAGACAGTACAGTCAATCCTGCGGGTAAGTAATAATTTCATTTCAGGGTAACTGCCTCTGACTTGTTCCCTATAAAACAAGCCGTGTTCACGTGGCCTGTTTTGCTTTGTGTTAATGAACCCCTCATTTTGGGAGCTCCTTTTGCACAATGCAGGTCACTGATAAAGGTGCCTTTCTTCTTTGATCTTTTACTGACAGATTCTTATAGAACTTGGTATTACTGGTGCACGTTTGTTTCAAGCAGCTGGTAGGATTGACTGCATAATGCATCACTACAGTGTCCCGCGGAAGCTGATGCACCATACTGCTTTTAGGCACTACAAAAATGTAGATTTGCTGCTTCGAATATAAATAGAAAATGTGTCAAGTGGGAAGTTAAAATTAAATTCTCTAAACCCAGTTTGTTTCCAGATGACCTAGGGTAATCCAAAAATAACTTCTCTTCGTAGGTTTTGTTTTATTCGGATGATGGCCTGGCCTTGTCAGTAGCCAGAACATGATTCATCAGGGGAAGCTGAGCTCCCTCATAAATAATGTCTTTAACCACTTGCCTGGCCGTGTACACTAATTGTAGTGGTAACGGAAGCACTTGCATTTATTCTCACTTCCAATTTGTGTGTATGCTGGATAGTGCTGGTACCTTCAGTCTGTACCAATATTGGTGTAATACTGAAGCAAGACAAAGTTGGGGGTAGGGGGAGAGGCTTGGCCATAGGTAAGTGAGCCTATTGTACTTTAATGTCTGTGCTTTTCAATCTTACTTTTGTAGCATGTTTCTTGATGACTTTTAACAGTTAAATCTTAATAAATATTTCCACATGAAATACAGTGCTATTTTCCTAAGTAAGGAGAAGCCCTAACTTGCGTCCATGGTAAAGCCATTATAGGTGTTCTAAAACTTGTCTAAATTTGGAGAATTAGTTGAGTTATTGAATGTGAGTCTTCCCTGCTAAGGTTATCACTTTTCAAACTTGCCTAATAGGGGATTTTTCTTGTTAATTGTACATCTGAAAAAAAATTACTTTCATGCAAGTTTTGTCATTATTTTAGATTTTCTTCTCTCTAATTAGAGTGGACTAAATGTATTTTGATTTTTGATAGCCTGTAAAAAAGATGGTTTGGATGCTGTGTTTCAAACCAACAGGACCTGAATGTATTTACTCTGTGGCTGTTGCTACCCTGGAAAGACACCAGATAAAACTTTTGTGTCTGCGCAGCTTTCTACTTCGCCACCCTAATGGTGCACACGGTGGCATCTGCATCGTAGATGTGTCAGCCACACTCTGGTTTTGACCGCAATCACGTTTTTCTGAAGCTTTCAGAACTTTCGGTGGTCAGTTGAGCCAGTGCCTTCATTCGATGTCTTACCTTGTCTTAACAGCCCGGGGACATCTTGGGAGTTGAACTAGTAACACGGCTTCTACTACTGAAGTGACAGATACAGGAGAACATTTAAGCAAATCCAGCTTTGTTTGGATAAGTTGCAACATCAGTCTGTTTTTAGTTTGTGATGCGTTTTCTGCTGGTGTGAAGGAGAACTGGAGGGAAAGTTGGAGTGCTCTGTTTTAGCCTTAGCGTTGCGCAGCAGTGCAGTTTTCATGGGGCTACATCAACGTAAAAGCTTCAACCCTTATTCCTTTCCATGGTTGCTAAAGAAATGGATACAATCTTGTGATTATTACTTCATGTTTTGTCTGTTTCCTTTTGGCTCTTGGAACAAAGTTTTGCTGTCTCTTGCTGACAGTGTCCTTTAAAAAAAAAAAACAGGGCGCTCTGGTAAGTTGTGGTGCTGGCTTGATGCACTAACCAGCTGCTGCTTACTGCTCACCTCAGCTGAGGTCAGCGAGCTCACTGCCGGCTTGCCTGAGCGGCGAAGAGTTCCCTTTCTGCTAGGGCACAGCTAACCGTCACTGTCCTGGTGCTGGTGGGATTCATTTCACGCTGGCCAAGATGCTACTTCTCTGTGCCAGTCCATCCCCTCCCTATGACGATGGGGAGGGAACACAAGTACCCTATCTCTAGTTCTGCAGTCAGTAGGGGTGACTTCTTTCCTTTTCCTCTATGAAAGAAGTAATAGCCATAAACCCTGAACACTTCTGGCGAGAAGAGCAGAAACGTGCATCTGTCATACGTGTGCTGGCCAGTTCAAACTTGCACTGCTTTGTAATGTGTTTTCTAATCTAAAGCTCGCATTGTTCTATTTGATGAAGTTTTTGTCACTCACACCAAGTGATCCTAAAAAAATAAGTTAGAAATAAAGGTTTAGTATTTTCAGAAATGTCATTCTGCAAGAAGTATACTTTTGTAGTTGTAGGGGTTTTGAAATAATTCTAGCAGATTTACAAGCTAATACAAGCTTGGTATAATTCATAAAACCTTAAACGTCATAATTAAGTTCTATCATCAAAGTAGATGTACAGGACTTTCTTCTTCTCAGTCATAAACCTTAAGAAACTTATTTTTGACTTATTAGGGTTCTTTGTAATGAAGTCTCCACACCTTTGCTTTCAACCTCTTGGCAAAGCACTGTTCTTGCTTTTGTATAATGAGCAGTTATCCTGTGTAATTGATAGTGGTAAGCAGCTTCCAGCCTTGCCATTTGGTATGTCTGTCTCCTTTTCGGTCATTAAAAATGACACTGGAGTTCCTTGCTGTGCAGTGAAGCAGTTCTTAACCTGTGTGTCAGTAGACAGTGGATAAATTAGATTTGTGTCTGGAGGAATAGCAATACTGTTAATGTTCTTAGTGATCCTGGGTGAAAAAGTTTGCTTTAAAACTCAAGCCTCTTTTTCCCCTGGTGTAGAGAATGCTGTTCCCTTTGGGAAATCGTATGCAGTAGTCAGTGGCGAATTGCCTTCCTAGGGAGAGATGGACTTCCCCCCCCCACCCCGCCCCTTGATGAACATTTGTTTGCAGTACAAAAATAGTCCGATTGTGGAGAAGAGAAGGAAACACCTAATCCTTGGGTAGCTGGAAGCCTATGAGTAATCTGAGCAGTGACTGGCATTATAACTTGGAACCCAGTTAGCAGGTTTTTTGGGATGTGTCTGAGTCTTTGACAGTAATCCATCACACTGATTTATCAATTTCAGATGAATTAGTTGTTGAGGAGACGACTGTGCATTGTGAGCACATATTTGCCTAATGAAGGCAGATTTCCAGTAGCATTCTGGTGCTGCTGTTTACACCTGAGTTCTTAAGACATAGCAAAGGGCCCTGAAATTTTCTTCTGATTTCTGATCTGCCTAAATCTGCTTGCATACTCTGCCGACTGTCAGTGGTAATTTCGTATGCCAAAGAAGTAGCAGTTGCCAGAGTAAGTTCTGGCAGAAACTCATCCACAGGCAGTTGCTCAAGTTCACCTCTCTTAGCACGGATGCATAATACAGGCTCCAAAAGCTGTTTGGCTAAGTTGTTGTAAATGCCAGTGTGGCAACCCTTGTATATTAATAATTCACAGTTACAGCTTGCTGACAGTGCTGTCGACCTGTATCAGATAAGAGTATCAGTGCATGCTAGAAAAGGAGTTGCTGAAATTGCTCGTTTAACTCTGAGACAAAATTACAGCAGCAGCTATCATGCCCACTGAAAACCAGTTTGGGGGTGAGCATATGCAGTGAGTAAAAAACATAGTAGTGTTTAGGCCATTAGGTGGATCAAAAACTTTGGGATTCTTCCACAGCAGTTCACATGCAAATGTTTTGCTCCAAGACAGTTGCCAGGCAGATAAATTTTGGGTTCAACTATGCAGTCTCAATGTAATAATGGTTTGCAGATGTTTGAGGCTTTGAATCTTTGTTAAATGAAAGCTGAGCACACCAGAAAGAACTTGCTTTGACTGTCATATTCCTACTAAGACTCCGCAAATGATGCTTTTGAGGTCTTGAAAACTGTCTCCTCCAGAGCAACCGAAAGAGAGCAGACATGGCCGTGTGTAACACTCTTGGAATCCATCCTAAAACCAAAGCAAAGTACTGTAGCACGTACCATTTTAACACTTGCTCTGTAAAGCTCAGTCGTGTGACCTTTGGCCTCAGTTTTTCGCTCATGGCTGGTATAACCTGGAAAATGGGCAGAGATTAAGATAGGCTCTCCAGTTTTATACAAGTTGGGCTCTCTGCTTTGCACCTTGGGGAAATAGTACAACAAAATGCTCTTCCTCTTTTTTAGTTTGGGCGCCACAGGTTGAACCCGGAAAACCGAACGCTAGGCAGTCTTCGAAATGTTCTGTACCTTCTTCAACAGAGAGTGAGGTGAGCTTTCGGGGTTTTTTCCTAACGATATAGAAGACTTGAGTATTACTAATACGTTGGAAATGTTGCTGGATCTGACTTTTGGGTTTTTTTGCCTCCCTTAAATGTGCCATTTCAGTCAACTTGTTTTTTGTAATATGTTGCATAATAAGTACACAAACCCAAATTCTCCCTTGATACCACTTCCTGTGGTATCTGTGGATACCAGTTCATTTGGCTCTCATCTTGAAAAGCAGCAAGTTTCCTGCACAAAAGACTTGACTTTCTGCAGAATTTTATCTGTAAAATATTATTAAACATAGTTGGCACTTAAGAGATCAAGATTAAATTTAAGATTCTTACAGTTGTCACTAACTCATGATGTTAACTCTTCTTTGTAGTGTGCTGGTTTACTTTTGGAAAGCTATTCACACTTGTTTTCTTGTTTGTTTGGGGTTTTTTTTTTTTTCCTCCTTAGGCGTTTTGGCTTAATGGGACTCTACAAAGGCCTGGAAGCAAAGCTCCTGCAGACAGTCCTTACTGCTGCTCTTATGTTTCTAGTGTATGAGAAGCTGACTGCTGCAACCTTCACAGTCATGGGATTAAAGCATTCACGCAGGCATTAAAAAAGGAACCTAAGCCAAAGATGATGGGGTCTAGAAAACACATTCCATGAATTCAGGGATAGCACATTCCCTACTCTTCTGTGGACTCACTGTGTTAAGAAACAAGCAAAGACCTTATTTAAGCACATGACATGAAATTTTAACTTCTGTATAATTTGATTGTCATTCTTGTCAAGAATGAATATCTCTCTCTGCTTTCTTGTTTTCCCTCAAATCCTCTGTTCTTCTATCTTCACCCTCTGTCAGCAGCTGCTGGGCTTGGTTTCATGTTGTTTTCCTTGACCTGTGTTTATGTCACTTCATATTTGGTTCATTAAAACAATGCATAAAGAACAAGATTTTCGACACAGTTTTCTTTTAACTTCAAGCGTGTTTGTGGCACAGAACGGCGGAATATTGCCCCAGGTATCTGGCAGTGAGATTTCTGAACTGCTAGAACGTACGTTACTGGTGAGTAGGTGCGCAGCCTTCTTTAACCCACCTGTTCTGAATTTTGAATGCAGATTGGCTAGATAGGAGGAACATAACCTCTTGCCTTTTCAAGCTGAGTACCTCAAGCTGCTTCAAGAAAATGGACTTGCCACACAGAAGTAGATGAAGTCCTGTAACCCTGTTCCTTGTGAGGATATGTGCATTCACACCACGTTCTCACGCAGACAGGTCTCACACAGACCTTTTGCTTCGGAGGTGGGATGCCCTTTCAAAAATGTGCTTTCATTGCTTTTCCCCTGATCTTCCCAGGCGCTTTCCTGACCATGAAGGTAAAGGTCATAACTTGTTGTCCCAGTTAATGTGAGTATGTTCTTTTTGCATTGTTTTGTTCAATAGGCCTAGGCCATAAAATCCAAATAAATCCTGCTGTGTCCATCATTAAGTTTGCAGTAGGATTGTTCTGAAGAACAGTTTTTTTATTTGGAGTACTGAGAAATTCCGTGGTAGTTTGAACACCAGGAGTTCTTCTCCCAGACATCGAGTGCTGCAGGAAAGATGTTACTGAATTGCTAAATGACACCCTTGTTTTGTGTCTCATTTGAGTCAATTCTAAGTATGAAATTGGAATGCGGTTCTGCAGATAATGCTGTCTTTTGAACAGAATGAAAACCTTTACACTGACTGCTTTTTAGGATTACTGGGACTATCTATGCAAGAAAAATGCTCTTAATTCAATGCTATTCAGTCCAAATGGAATTTACATATGACAAATAAGAATAAAAAAGCATAATGAACTGTAATTATACTTTAACATGAAATTTAATGTAAGACTGTAGCCCTCACCACTGGAAAAGAAACAATCACAATTCTGACAGTTTCAGTGAAAATGTTGTGACTGGAATGAGTTATCCTGTGGAAAGATAGTCTGCTGTCTTTTTGGTGTTTTTAACAAGAAATTTGGTATCGATAGTACGGCTCTTGATAAGCTACCTTACTTTTGAAATTCCTGCT